AACAACACCAACAAGAGGACTATTATTATTAAATAAACAACATGCTATTTGAACTATCATGAAAGAAGTAGAAAATGAATTACAGGCAGCAATCACTTGTTTAATATTACCTCTCAATCCTATAAAATACATTTTTCTAGCTTTCTTTCTAAAATATTCTAAAATAATATAAATCATAATAAAGATGGGTATTTTTTATAAAATTTTTAATAAAGAAAATAACAATTTTATTTAACTAACTAATTTACTTTCTTATAACTTTCATTATCAACAACTACATAATTAGCTCCACTAATTCCATATTTCTTTAACATTGAATTAGTTAAACGATCAACAAATACAGTTTCAGTGTCTAAAATACCAACTTTTGGTATGAGATTCTCTTTACGTTCTTTATCTTCTTCGTGAGACTTAATATGAACTCCCTTAACTGTCCCACTCTTTTGAATTCGTTGATAAAGATGGGTTACATATCCTGCTATCTGATTACCAGTTTTTTTATTAGTTTCAACTACATCCATAACAACAGCATGATTATTATAATAATCTCTACTGATTCTCATGTAATACAATTCCAATACTTTCTTAGCTGCTATTTTGATTGATTTTCCTCTGATTTTACCCATATAATGGGGTTAAAAAAATTTTATAAAAAATTGTTAATTTTTTTTATTAATTTTTAGTTTGATGGACAACAGAGAAACTCAATTGGATATTTTAGAATGTGAATTAATTGAATTAGAAAATAGAAAAAATGAGTCAGAAGATTATAAAGATATTGTTGAGAGGGTTGAAAGAAAGGTAAATGTTCTTAAATTACTTAATCAAGAATTAGATTATTTAAACTTAGTTTTAAGTAAATTTGATATGATTGATAAGTTTAAATTAATCAAATTAAAAGATTTAACTATTAATGATATTGTCAATCTAATTAAAAAGACTAATTCATTATCAGAAGAAATTAAAAAAATTCCAAGTGAAAAAATTGACAAAGAAAATGAAAGTGAAAGTGTTGAGGATTATCAATCACTTATCGAGATAAGTAAAGATATGAATATTAAATATGGTGTGTTTATTTCATCAATTGATGCTTATGAAAAGTCTTGTTTATCTATAATTAATAAGTTAGCTAAGAAGGGAATTGGGTTGTTATTAAGAGAATTAGAGAATCAAAATTTTGATGTTTTTTATGAATTTTATTCTTCTCTATCAAATTTTAAAGAACATCAAAAAATGATCAAAGAAGTCTATTTTCAATGGAGAAAACAATCATTAAAGTCAAAAATAACTTTTATTTTAAGTGACTTAGAAATGCATTATAGATTAATAATTGGAGTTGAAAAGAACATATATAAACAGATTTTTAATATTGAAGAATTGGGAGAGGAGTTTAATCAATTTATTTCAAATTTATTAGAATATTTATTTAAGAAAATGAATAAGAAAAATTTAAATGAATTTTTAATTAAGAAAGTTAATGACATTGATTGTAATGAGACTTTAATTTTAATTAATTGTTTAAAATCTTATTTAAACATTAATGATTTAGAAAATAATTTAACTAATGATTTAGAAAATATAAATTTAAAAGAAGATGATTTAAAAATTAATGAAAATTCTGTAATTAAAAAACAATGTTAAAATTTAAAATTAAATAAAATAATAATTTTTCATTTGTTGGATTTAAAGGAGAATCAATTTTAAAAATTTTCTTATTAAATAGGGGTATGGGAAAGTCAAGTATGAAAGTTAGAGGAATGATTGAAAGTATGTCGAAAGCTTTTGTAGAATGTTTAGAAACTTGCATTGAAAATTACTGTTATGATTTAGAAAAAGATAATCAAAAAAGTGTTATTAATTACCACTCTAAGAACGCTTATCTAAATAATGATAACTTAACTGCCAATGATTCCTGGTCAATTGATTTGATGTCTAGTTTGGAAAGTAAGAAGACTATGATAAGACTCATTGAGAATGATGTTAGTGATTTGAGTGATGTGGAGGTGGAAGAAAAATTTGATTATTATGCTAAAAATTTTTTAATTAATAATATTAATCAATTTAAAAAAAAAGTTGATTCTTTATATGCAAGAAGTTTAGAATTTGGCATTAAAAAAAATATTAAAGAAGCATTTAGGTATTATAAAATTGCATCAAGTCTTCAAGAACCAGTATCAAC